ATAGTCCTGATGTAATCCTTAGTAATTGTGCTTCACTTGCTTTTAGGCAAAAAAGGTATTGTATCCAGGACATTATAGGTGATCTTATAAAGGACTAGACGGTAGCCTTTGATATGTGAACCTGGCAAACCATGATTGGCAGAATGGACATGTAGTATATGTGTGTAGCACGTGTGATCTTCTTATAAGCTATATAAAGGCTTGCTGATTATGAAATAAACRTTATTGGACTTTCAAGCCAGTAGCCCCTGCTCCTCAATGCCACCACAGAGAGACTGTTCAGTTATTTTTTAATGAAATTCAGTAGTCTCTTTTGTTGAAAATCAACCCCCCACACTGTGTCCCCAATCACTAACCCAATGTTTGGAACTCTGTTCTTGATAATTCCATCATTCTATGATCAACAGTGCTTATTGAGCTCATCTAGTGCTGTTTATGTGAATTATCTGATCTGTAGATAAGAAATGATTTCTAAGCTCTTACTATTGCTCCTGTTCTATTGGGGATCATTTCCATCACTATTATCTATGAAAAAGTATTTATAAGTAAGTGAAGAGGTTTTCTAAATATCTAGTCACACTACGCAACTGAGAACATTCTTGTAAACTAAACCAAGCTGAACTCTAGAACTTTACTCATTTTTCTGTAGTTTTTAATATACATACTAACATAGATTTTGTAGGGCAGTAAAGTGATATGAATTATTAAATTCTTATAAGCCACACAAACAGCCTTGTATCTAAGTGCTTAGCCAAATGAAATCAAGTCCAGTAGTTTAAGCCATGCAAAGATATGCCTGCTTTTTGGGTCAGAACAGTGAGTCACATGAGCAATCTGTGTGTCCATAATCTTCTTTCATTTTGAGACCACCTCAACATGGATGACCATGCCCATACCTATCTCCTTGCTGATCTGCGTCATACTGCTCACTGCATCCAGGCCCTGTGTCATTCCAGATATCACTGAATCATCAGTCTACAGCCTCTTCCGATAGTCCACACAGGCTGTGTGCAAATTCACTAAAAATATTGCACAGATTTCAAGTAAAGAAGAGAACTCTAAGGGAGCCTATTCTGTAGAAAATATGCTGAGCATGCTAGGAGCTATTCATTGTATCTGTAACAAGATTAAAAAGCTGATGGAGGGCATTAATTTGTAAATAAACAGGCTGATCAGCACCACATCTCTTCACAATCATGATTCAGTGTGGAGAAATGTGCCTTAAAATTTCCCAATTACAACATATCCAGTGGAACATATAAACTAACCTGTAGGAGTAAGATATCTTTACTCCTGGGGTGAGATAAGCATAAATTTCTTCAAAACTGTGCTTCTTTCACCATGATTGTCTGTACTTTCCTTTCTCTGTTTTCATTTGTACTGAAGACTGTTCCACAGCAAAGAAAGATATAAAATTAGAAGATAAATGAAGATATGAGAAGTATACTTGATCACAGGGTCTTCAGTGTCCTCAGACTTACATGTTGATGTCTACATTGACTGAGGCCCCTAAGGAAAAGTAACTGATGGAAGAGCTGAGGGATGTGGAAGAGGAGRGTCAGGCCCAGGTTCTCTCAGCAGTGGCAGATAGTTACTAGAGGAAGATGCATCCTCTCCTCTTTCTTACTCACACACCGTTGATCTATTTCACTGCCTCTGATTGACAGCAATATCAATAGGTTGTGCCTTGCTGTAGTCCTTCTTAAATATTTCCCATGTAGCACTAGAGAAGAAGAAAAAAAMCAGAGGCTATCTTAGTAGGAGGCATCTAACACTACATCCACATACACGTATGCAGACAGTGCCTGCCATCATGAGCAAACATAATTTTTACTGGCACTCAAATTTATTTATTTTTCTCCGGCTTCTTATCACTTAGACTTTAAATACATGACTCTCCTGCTGYATTCTGATCATCTGGTTGAGATATATAGCATAACCTCCTTAACCTTTTTCTCTCCCATTKTTCCTGAACAAATGGTACTCTTTAGTATTAATATTCCAATCACGTTTTCACATCACTGTACTGCACCAGGGTTTTGAATACCAGTTAAGTTGTAATTTTGATCATGCATCAAGATTTTCAACTCTTTCTGTTATTTTTCAAACATTTTTATTAGTTTAGAAACATCTAGATTGACCACCAGTGGGCTTGCTTTCTTCTTATATGACTTTTTTAAAATAATCATTGCCTTTTCACTTTTCCAGCTTTGTATCAGACTCCTGTGAGTCATGTTTGCTTGGACACTCATGTCACCAGTCCCTATAGGACCTGTAAGAATAGTTTAGTGCTCACCTCATTAGATTACCAAACCTATGTCAGAGTATGGGTTTTTTTTTTTTTTCCTTTTCAATGATGTTTACCATCTCATCATGTGGTTATGCCGAGGAAGCCAGGGTCCTCTTTGCAACAGTCTGCACAGCTGTGCATTCAACTTCCCATCTCTACATGTATGCATTTGAGATTATCTTTGTCAAAGGAAAAACTGTCATAATGCTTTTTGGCCAGTCCATCTTTCTTTTTGCCCCAGAAGTATTTACATCACAAAATCACCCCTGCAACTTCAGTGATCACGTTTTGTTAGAGAGCCAAATGATTCTTGGAGGCTTCCCTATGACCCTATGACCCCAGCTTCCCTATGACTGAGACAATAGATTCCTATGATTTGTGCAGAACTTGAATATGCCGAAACTCTGATTTCTGACACACAATGTATTAGATTGATACTAAAAAGTAGAAAATGAAACAAAAAAAAAAAAAAAAAAAAAAAAAGGAATTGAAATCGACCCTCAGAAGTGTCCCTGTCTTGTCTCTATACTCCAAAGTAGGACCACCTATATCTAAACTGCTCTTGGAAGATGTTTGCCTAACCCTACTTTTAAAAATATTGGAGACCATCACAGCCGATGTATTTCAGCACAATAGCTTTGCTGAAATTTATTCATCCTAACAGCAATGAATATGGAGAAAGAAAAATCCCTTCCTCTTTGCATATAGCTCCTGTCTATACTGTCAGACTGAGCAGTGCCAGTACACAAGCCTGAACAGTGGTCCTTGATCATCTATAATATATTCTTAGCAGGGACCCTGGAAAAAAAAGATCATTCTCCTCAACAATTCACACTTATAGTATGTGACTTAATATGCAGTTCAGCTGCAGCCATGTTGTCATGAAGGCTTTAAAAGAGCTTCAGGCTGTGGGTGGATGATACCTTTAGGGGAAAGAATAATACTGTACTTTTTTGGAATAAATATACCCTTTGTAAAACAGTCATATGTTGCCTTTTTGGACAAGATAAAGCTTTCCAGTTGAACCATACCATTTTTAATTGACATGGCATTTTTAATTGACATTGACATTCCCAAAATCAGCTCCCAAAGTGAAATTCCCAAAGTGCAATGCTCTACTGAACCSTCACCAATGCTTAGTGAAAAAAAAAGTGATAATTTTCTGTGTATTGCAAATCATATTCCTATTTATACATTTTAGATTGCTTTAAACAGTTCTGTCAGATAAGTTTTGTCAGAAAGAAATAATAAGCTCAAATTGGTTTGTAAATCTTTAACTTGCTTAATAYTTTTGAATATATTTTTTCAGCATTTATATCAATTAACCCTTTTAGTTGATATAAATGCTAACTAACCCCAACAAACCCCTAAATRACCCTTTAAATTTGTTGACAAAGCTGATTACATTGGGAATGATAACGTGGGCAGCCTTTTTAGTGAAAAGAATCATTTAATATTTTGATCTCTCTGGAGCCATGTTTTGATAGCCTCAGTTGGTAGCCATCAACCTGTCCTGTCAWGGAGAAGCTCCTATCCTACTACATTTACTATTTTTGTACCTGTTCTGTGAATCACTGGAGGATTCATTTTTCAAGAGCTCTCAGAGTTCTCACTTTCAGAAGCACTTAAATTATTTTTAAATTACATATTRGGTTGTTAGGACTCTTTAAGACTGAACTATGCCTCATAAACCAATCTCTTGGCAAATCTACAAGAATAAATGAATAAAATTAAAGTGATGAAGACAACTAAATCATTGTTGTCAAGTAATCTCCTATAAATTATATTTTGTTGTTGTGGGCTCTGTGGTCCATGCTAATCGAGCTTGATAGATGTTGCTTCTTCTTCCCTTCTACCTGAGCTGCATAGCTTCCCTGTTGCCAATGGTGTGGCAATCTAGGAAGCCAGGCTCTAACACAGTCTTCTGCTTTTTGCTGTATGCTTCAGTATGAAATAAAACTGAGTGTGCTGCTTTGCAGCAGATCTCTTATTAGAGTGCAGCCTGGGCTGTGATTTGCTGGTGCGGTGGATGGTTGCCTAGAGAAGCACAACCTGAAGTAGCTGCGTCAGTGGCTCTGACCTGGTAACGACAGAAGTTTGCTAATTTGTATTCTAACTAGTGCTGACTGATAAAGGGATGTATCCAGTAGYGCCATGCTCAGCTGGCTCTTTTTTTTTTTTATTTCTTTTCCAATTTACACTAGTGTGACACAATGAAATTTAGAGAAGCAAATCCTGATTTACATCAGGGCGAGGGCAGAATCCAGCCCGATTTTCTGCCACAGAGCCATATAGATAACTACTTTCACTGTGAAAATAGCTCGGGCATATTTTAGAACACTCCAATGGATGTTTGCATAAATATAGCCTTTCTCCATTTTGTGTGGATATTTTGGATCTTTCTGGTACCTCTCATTATGAAATATTCCTAAATGCAGGACAGACAAATTACGGCTCTGGTTCGCTTCGAGCAGGGGAGCCTGCCTAAATCGCGGCCACATTCTTCCCATAGTAGCCGGTTGAAATTAATAGCACATGCAGAGGAAAAACTAAACCCTTTGACGTCACTCGTGAAACGAGGCAACATAAACAGAGCAGGCTCCACTCCAGCGCGCCGGCACAGCGGCGCGGATTGGTCTGCTGCGCGCTGCCTGTGGCACTTGACAGCACCTCCCCGCCGCGCGYGCTCCGGATCCTGCTCCGGCTCGCGCCCGGCCTGCCGCTGGCTAGCACCGGGCTCACACTGCAGCAAGCTCTGCTCTGCCCCAGCCCCTTCACTGGCAGCAAAGTGCCCTCTCCTTCCGACTCTTTTTGCTTCTTAAGGTGGCTTTCTAGGCTGGGCTGGGGGGGATTTGGGGAGGCTTTCTTTTTTTTCCTTTTTTTTATTCCTTTTTTTTTTTTTTTTTTTTTTTTTTTTTTTTATTGCTGTTGCTACTTAATTGCATTCCTAACCCTGGATGCAGTTACTGGATTCTGCAGTACAAGTCTTCATGAACAAGCTGCACCGCTTAGAGATTTCACGGCATTCAAAGGTCACAGAACTGCCACTATGGTTAAATGTCTTGTTTAATGGTTGAGGTATGTACAGCAAACCTAAACGAGGCAGCATGATGGCTTTTAAAGGGCTACTAAAATTGCGAGGGGGAGAGGGAGATAATACTATCATTTAAAGGAGACGATTTTTGGTGGTGATTGTTACTACAGCAACCGGTTTTTGAATTTCCTCCCTTTTTCTGCTTATTCAAACTGGATGAGCAGGCTAACATATGTTGATTTAACCATTTTATGGCAAGAGAAGACTGCAGAAAGAATCTGTTATCGTAATCTGTTATTGTTTCTGCCCCCGCTGAGTRAAGTGTGATTGCATTTTTCGCTGTGTAGCCCTACTGCTCAATGGCAGGGAAGGAGACCTTGCACTTGGTTGCCTTGGATGAAGGGAGGAAGGAAGGAAGGAGAAACTCATTCCTATCCTGAGGGGGCTGTGAGTTTGTTTGAGAGTTAGAGCAGAGAGAGGAAGAGTTGGAAAGAAATGCGTCAAGCAGAAAGGAATATAAGCATCATTTTGAGGAGTGTTGTGTTCCGCAGCATTGTGTTACTACTTGCTTGAGATGCTTTGCTTGGTTTGGGTTCAGAAGTTCAAAATTAAGAGGAAGCCTGTGCTTTAACTTATAAACAAGTCTTCACCGGGAGCGGAGGGAGCTAATTGCCATTCATCAACATCAGTTTTCAGACTGCTTTTGCTACCAAACCGGAGAAAAGTGGGAATTTATTTGGAAGCTGAAGTAATGCAGCCTGATGTCTGTTTAATGACATATAGGTTCAATCCCTATTGAAGCAGCTTGTGAGCTGAATGAGTATTGCAGCATTACAGTGAACAGTGTGTGCTGCAGGAAACGAAAGCAACTGCTAGCATAAAACTAACGTTGTTTTCAGGAGTGTGATTCTAACATGAAAGAGGAGGAGCCACTCGTCAGAGTTCATGTATGTGTGTGCATGAGTGATCTTAAAAACTATTACCAGTCAATACTGCCAATTTATTCAGTTATTTTGGTTAAAAGACAGATATGCTCAGTGACTATCAATCCTCTTTTTTCAGTTTGTGGAATGAGACTTTTTACAGCTCTGTTTGAGATGTTATTGTAAATATAAACCTTTCACGATTCGAAAATCTTTTGGTTTATCTGAACAAATCAYACATCAAAAATCAGTTCATGCTGGAAACTGTCCTTATGCAGTGCACTTCAAAGAGCTATGAAAATTAAATGTGCTAGGTTCAACCATGCTAGCTTAAGGACTGCAAAAATATTAGCTCTGAAATGCAGAGGATGTGATATGTGCTGTGAATGGACAATTGCTATTCTGCAGTGCCTAGTGGGAAAACAAGGACTTTGTGTATTGCAAACGCATAACTGCAGATCCTCCATTTCCTTTGCTGTATCTTCACAGATGAATGCAAGAACAAAGAGGATTGTCACAGATAAACTCTTTAGTGTCACATCTTTTTGAGATACTTAAGGATATTTATTTTTTTTCATGTCATCCTATAACTCAAAGGCAAACACTGTTAGTTGAACTATTATTTTGTAATCTCCATACCATCCTATGCTTCCAGCCCTTCCAGGAGTCTTYGGTGAACTACCAGCTGTTCTCAAAAATTAAAACACTGCTTCTCCAGGCCAAAGTTTAGAAAGATTAATGTAGTATTTGTTAGAGGATTAAATTTGACTAAGGGCAATTCTGCTCTGTAAGGAACAACTATAAAGCTACTTGAAGTGATCCAAGTTTCTAGAAGGTAATCTGTAAGGCTCTGGTTTTGTAATAATTTCCTAGAAGTGCATTATTCTCTTCTTTTGATAAATGACTTGCTAGCAAATCTCAAATTTTAATCTACCTTTTGCTGCATTCATATTTTGTAGCAACTACTGCAGGCAGTACTAAGTAGAAGTGGACTTCACCTAAGCCAATGACTGTTTTTCTATTTTACTAATGAGCTTCCAATTTAGACATAATGCATTCTCTGAACATTCTCACTTCAGCATCAAAACCAAATAAAATCTAAGGCTGGATTCTTTGCAGCGGCTAAAGTTTTTTGACGTTTGCAGGCACATTGTTCAAAAAAGGATTTTGTTTTGCAGCTATTTCATGTTATATGTATGGCAGTTCATTATAAGTTTATTTGAATAGAGTGGACAACAGTTGTCACCAGGGAAGCTCTAGTGACTCCAGCAGAGTCGTGCATACTCTAAGGAGTCTGATCCAGTGTATGTGCGATGCTTAATTCTGTGACCCAGCGTGTAAAATATTCTGTATAGCAGCAGCTGTTTCCTCCCTTCTCTTCCCATTTATGTGTCTTTYCCTTCTGAAACCCACTTGTCTGTGTGCCCTCACTAGACCTCTGGGTAGATCATTGAGGCAGACTGATTTTCCAGTGTCCTCATTGCAATTATAAAGTATAATTGAGACATTCAGTAATATGTAGTTCCTTTCCACTCAATCCATGGTTCTTCTACCAATAGTTAAAGCATGTTTTAATGAGAAACTGTCTGAAAATTGACCTTTTGTGATATATTTATGGTTTTCTTGCAGTTTTTCAGTCCTACAGGGAAAAAACTTCTCTTGCACTGGCAATTTCCTCTCTAATGGCTCTGTGAAACAGAAAAGATAGCTATTGCTGTCCATATACTACAATCCAGCCCATAAACTACAATCCAGCATATCTTTATTTAATACTAAGAAACATGTAASACCTATTCTGTCATGTAATCAAGTTAAATATATGGCCTAAAACTTTTGATACAGTTGGGCTAACAGAAAAACAAATCATTTGGGGGAGCCAGAATGACATCTCATGTAAGTGAGCATTCTAAGTWACTCCCTATTGTTCATCTTTTCTCTCCCTTTGTGCCTAAAATTATTACAGCRTTCCATGTGTTTGTCACAGGGTGAAAGCAAAAGGGACAGCTGGGGTCCTACCAGCTGCCAGAACAAAATTAAGTGTTTTGTAATGAAATGATGGCTCAGTATTCCTCCTCCCACATCCATATTGGGTGGAAGATGGGAATCTCTGCGTTGGAATGATACCACTGATTTTTCTTTATCCTCAGCCAAAGAAAAAAAAAAAAAAGGCTTTTTCTTGCTGGGACGTTAGGGTTTTTTTTTCATTTCCAGACAAATGTTGAGTTTCCACATGTGTAGTGTGAAAATTGCACTTTTCAGTCATAAAAATAGGACGTATGTGTAATGGATGTTACTGAGTATTAACCCAGGGCGAATTGGTACACACAGATGTGCAGACCTAAGTATGCAAAACTTTTGATGGTTTTTCTCTCTGTGACCAGGATGACGTGCACGTAACTAGGCAGCTAAAGATAAACTATCATAGCCGCAAACTGGAGCATCAAAAAGGCTCTCAGATGCGGTGGGGGAGAGGGGTGATAATGACCTTGTCCCCTGCTTTCCCTATAAATAAATAGGAAAGTGTAARGCCTGTCTTCTGTTAGTACTAAATAAATGATAAGTTTAAAATATTGAGTTTGCCTAAATACTAGAGAGCTTGAAGATATTGTTTCTATTTTAATCAATTTAATTAATTTATGGAAATATAAGCTGCAAAGTCAATTGCTGTAAAACTTTTTAACAGAAAAGTTCTTCTATATCTTCCAGAAAATTGTTTAGAACACATCTTAATCTTATTTTTATCATTTTTCATGCTTCAGTGGTATCACAAGAAAATCACATTAGAAAACAGTGTTGGATCCTCTGAAGTTAGGATGTCTGTTTTCATGTAACACATTGTGCAGGATTCAGTAGATACATAGCTAGGGTTCACAGTGCTCAGGGCACTATCRTATAGTTAGTGATAGCTATCTGTTCCAAAGTATTCAGTTTTAAGGTAAAAAAAAATAACAAATCAGAGCATGATCTGATATTAGACAGGGCAATTCCAGAGGCCAGACTTTAGTGGAAAAAAAATTAAGTGAAAAATTTGATCAGGGACTGTTCTCATACAACCATAATCAAATGAATTAAATATTTTTTCATATACACATTTAATTGTGTGGTATATGCAGTACATAGACACTGTATTATTAATATATATTTCTCAGTTTTTCTGTTCTTAGAGAGTAAAAAGATTTATGGATATTTATAGATTTCATTATATAATGTCTTATTAATGTTTTATTATATAATGCCTTGGGCAGAAGGAAAGCAAGCTAATGAAAGCGCCCCACCAGGTTTGATTTTCTTATTCTGTTCATCCTCCTCATGGGAGTTCTGAGTGAGGATGGGTGGGAGCATAATTTAGCTACTTTTTTAGCCTACATAGTCTCATGGTATATGATATGGATCTTCTAGCTTACTATCTAGCCAAAAATGACATCCATGTTGCCTATATGGATAAACATAGCTGATGATCTCRTCCTCTTAATGAATGAGGATGAGCATTTAGGATTCACCTACTCACAGAGATAAATTTATTACAGTTTAGCTACAGAAGAATTGCACACAGACACAAACAGCAAGATTTATTTTTCTTCAAGTACGTTATATTAAAAATAGGAAACAAATATTTAGGAAAGTATAGTTGCAGAGATACTTTTTCTATAGCTCTTACATTTATACTAAATAACCACAAAAATTCCTGGTATGAGAAAATCTCACCAACTAATATATCACTGTGGTATATCTTAATACTAGCGATATAAAGCTCTTAAAAGCAAAGCAGCAAATCTACAGTCAATCTAAGTTTAGTTAATTGTCATGGAGGCATAAAAACACAATTCTAGGGCAATTGCTCTCAGGACCTGTATATAATTCACTACATGTTTTTCCAGAGCACAGTCTGATGATGCTTACCATCTGGATGTAGGAAAGAGGTTTTGGAAAGGGAGATTTAATAATCTCCTTCCCTAGAATAAAATGTGAGGTAGGTATGTTTTGACTGAAAGAGAGGCAACAGAGACAGCACCTAGAAATGCATGTCTATAAAATAGTTGTTTGGTTTTGGCTTTCACTCAACTTCCCACTTATATTTTGTTTTAAATGTCTGTGA